TACTACATTTATTGGGACTAAATGGTTTGTCTGATAAGTCAGAATGTATCACTAAGGAGCCTGTGCCTTCCAGTGCCAAGTGGTTTTAGACTCATTGATAGTTGTTTAGTCACAGCTAAAACTGGGCTTGGGAGTACCACCTGATGCCACAGCAAATCATATGAGTGTCCACAGATTTTTTCCTTTTTCCCATCCTGATAATTTCTAGAAATTAACTTCTCTCCTCTTGATGATTGGTTCAATTACCCTAACATTAATTGTAATGTGTATATATATATTTTTTGCCTATTATCATTAGGAGCCTAAAGATATTGGGTGACAGGGCTATTGTATCTATCAGGACTCTAACCCAAGAGTAGTCAATCTTAGGTTATACTAACACTAAACTAAATCATAACACTAAATATATGTTATGATTTAGTTTGTAAAATACTGGTAATTTGATATAAATTAATGAGAACAAAGTAGATTTATCTAACAACTATATATTGAGCACAGACTATTTGTAAACTACTGTGTTAGTAGCACTAAGAGCATTTTTTCAAGTTCAGATTTTAATAGGTGAAATTAAGTAATTAGACAAATAAAATGATTTGCAATTATATGGACAGGCTTTAACCGAAACACAACAGTAGTTTGACATGTAGCAAAGACATTTTAATTTTGTGACAGAAAATATATTATCAAATACAATGTTTCTCTTTATGACAATTTTAAATTTATGTCCCACATATATATTGTGTCTTTAATGAATTGAATTCTAAAGCGTTGGATTTTTAAGTACTCCCATTTTCCAACTAAACGGTATAGATTTATAATGACTTGAAATCCATCCATTGTTCTTAATAGTCTTGAAAAAGTATCTTCCTCCATTTTCTGTGTATGCTTGGGAAAAGTTTAAAATATAGACTTGCAACTAGAGGAAGAAAAACATTACAAAAAGAAAAGAAATAAATATTGTGTTATCAGACACTTTCAATGTGAATCAATTTATGAGGTTTATTTATAGAATATGACTACCATTGTGTAAGTGATGGAAAATACAAGTTCCCAGGATACATTTAATGATGCTTAGATATATAATGAAAAAAATCACCAAATATTGACAGTTAAAGATACTCTAGTTCAATTTATTAACATGCAGACATGTGAAAAATTTCTTTTCACTGAGTGATGAAAGTGGATATAGCAATTATATATTAACACTGCTCTATGGGTATGATTACACACAACTACTAATTTAATTATTTTTCTTACATTTAAAGTGAAATTTTCAACTATCATATTATTTCTTACTATCTCACTTGTAACAAATGTCATACACCTAGAGGATTTGGAATTGAAAATATTAGTTTATTATCATTAAACAAAAAAACCTATTCTGTGAAATCTATTAGGAAATTAATAATAATGAATAAAAGATGAAAAATGGAAATTAATCTCAATTACTGTGGTTATAACTCAACAATAATGGTAGCATATAACATTAATCTGTAGTAATATTCTCGGATGTCATTTTTCTATAATTGAATTTGACATCTTTGTACATTTAGAACTTAATCAAGATAAATATGTGGAAAGAGCTGTAGCAGTGAAATTCTTTAATTCCACAAACATTTCCATCTGTTAGACACTATATTGGATTCAAAAGATATACCCCCTGCTCTCAAGGTTACAGCAATGGAAGAAGTATAAAAACACAATTATAATGTGGTATAAAGTATTAAGCAGTATAATTGTGAATAAATAATGGCATATGAAGAGTAGCAGCACTTCAAATTATCAAGAATCATCAAGAAATGTTTACAAAGAAAGTAAATTTAAAACTATAAAATAACTGATGAACAAGATTTGTAAGAAAACATGTGGGAATAGGGAAAATTTTGCAAATGCATGGAAGGAAATCTTCATCAAATTTTCCAGAGGACTAATAGACTAAAAGTTAGGTACTGTTGGAATAGAAACAATGCAAAATTGTTAAGGCAATACTGGAAATGTAGACAGGCTGTTGTAGGGGCAGGAATGACCACTGAGCAGGTTTTCTGATCCCATGCAGACCGGGTAAAGGAGGAGTCAGAGTCCTCAGTGTTTTTTTGCAGGTCTTTTATTGGGATTACCAGGTATACAGCAGGCAGGGGTGCTGGGGGGCCAGGATGCTGGCAGGCCTCCCAGCTCCCAGCAAGTCTTCAATCTATCTGCGCTCTCTGGCGTTCTCTGCTTCTCTCTCGGCTTCCGCTACTTCTTTCTCAGCTTCTTGGCTTCTGCTACTACTGGCATCCCCATGACGCCGCCCTTAAAAGCACAGTCTTAGCCCAGGTGAATCCCATCTACCTATGCCCACACCCTATTCCAGGTGCCCGCCATCAGGCATGCATTCAGGACCTCAAGGATCCATCATCTATCCTGATGGTGAGAGGGCAGAAAAGCCTGACATTTTCTTCACCCTACAGCTGTGTTAGAAGATATTTCCAACACTCAGTACTTCACAGAGTTTTAAAAATAAATCTAAATGTAAAGCAAGCTAATAAGGCAATTGATGTTCACATATATTTTCCATCTTGCAATGCCTCCATACAAACTCCAAATACAACCTGTGAGTGATTAAGCTTCTCCCTAAAGAAAAGTGGGATCTGTGGCCCTTTTTCAGACAGTCTTTGCACTGCATTGAGCAATCAAATGTCACAGAAGTGACCTTGCATGAGTTTCATGGCTAAGGCTATAAGACACTGGAAGATTCTGATTCATATCTCTTGGCACATACACTCCTGGAGCCCTGAGCCATTGTGTATGTTGATTGAAAAAGCCTGACTATCTTTCTGAAGACACTGCGAGGTACTGAGTCTGCATGGAGAGAAGAGGACTCAGCTGAGCTCAGCCTTCCTAAAGTCCCTGCGAATCTCTTGGGGACTTAAGTGAAGCTCTATTGAATCAGATCAGCCCATATACCAGCTGTGAACTTAGAGATAGAATAAAATGGATATTTGATTTAAGTCACTGAATTTTGAAGAGTTTTTTTACAAGGCAATAGATAAAGGAAATACAGACATCACTATCACCCTTTAACGAAAAAGAAGTGTTGATATAATTATCTAAAATCTCTGTCTCCTGTTCTCTTTATTTCATCAATACATTCTAATTAGCCATAAATCCCAAGAAGCCCATAGAGATTCTTTTATCAAGATTGACAGATAGCAAAACCTCATTTAATTTAATGGTCATTCCTCAATCTCAACTTATTCAAGGTTTTGCAGGATTAAATGCAGCTGCTTACTCCATCCTTTTTAAAAGCATGTTTTTTTTTTTTTCCATTTGGCTTCTAGGACAACATACTTAAGGGTGTTTTTTTTCCTTTGTTCTATCTATGGTATTCCCCCAGCTCCATTAAAATACAATTAACATTTAACATTTTATGTTTAAGGTGTACAAAATAATGATATGATACACATAGATGTAGCTGAATGATTGCCAGAATAAGATTAGTTAACACATCCATCACCTCACATAATGCTTTTTTTATTTCTTTTGTGGTAAGAATATTTAATATCTAACTTCTTAGCAACTTGCAAATATATATGATACAGAAATGCTAACTATAGATAGCATAGTATATATTAGCTCCCCAGGACTTAATAATCTTATAACTGGAATTGTATACACTTTGACCATCATTTCCCTATCCCCCCCATCTCTACCCAGTGACACCACCAATCTACTCTCTGCTTCTACGATTTGGGAATTTTAGATTCCATATGTAAATGGGGTCATAGAGTATTTGTCTTTTATATTTATTTTACTAAGCATAATGCCCTCAAGTTTCAACCACATTGTTTCAAACACAGAATTCCTTTCTTTTATAATTTTGAATAATATTCATATACAAATACATACTATATTTTATACATATATGCATGCATGTGTGTGTATGCACACAGAAACACACACACACATTCCAGTTTCTTTATACACTAATCCATCAGTGGGCACTTAGGTTGTTATAAGTCTTGGCTAATGTAAATATTGCTTCAATGAGCATAGGGTGCAGATATCTAGGGAGCTTTGATACCTACTGCCTGTCCTGATATTATTCTTCCTCAGGTAACTTTTTTTACATTCTAAAATTCTTCTAAACCTCTGAAGGTTGAAATACCAAAGACTCAAACCTCTCACATAACTTTCTTCATCTTCTCTTCTTCCTAGTTTAATGCTTTGCAATGTCATCTATAAGTTTTATTTAATGGATAATATTAGCTGATCATCCCTTCATTAATATCTTCAGTTGATTTTCTCCTGAAATCCAGTGTCATTTTTTTTGTATTTTCATTTAATATTTCTGATTGTGTCTCCAATAGGTATATCAAACTTAAAGCCAAAACAGACTTATAACCTATCTTCCCCATTTTCAGACTTTGATTTGAGCAAAATAAACATTTTGAAGTCCTATCTTCCTCTCTTTCATTCTGCATCCAATCCATTAAAATATTTACCCTTGCTTCAAGATATACACTGAGTTCAACTGCTTCTGTTTCTAGCACCCTAACTCACACAGAAAAAATCATAACCGTTGCTCTCCTGAGTACTCTAGGATACAAACAAGCCATGTGGCGTTCACTCTTCCCTTTAAAGTCAATTTTCCACATAATAACTAATAACTCTTTCTTACCTAAAATATTTCCCACTATATTTAGAATAAAACACAAACTCCTTAATATGATAAATCCAGACCCAACTGACTCTGCTACCTCTTTCTCTCTCATTTGCTCCATAGAAGAGAGACTGTCTTTCTAAAAACTGTAAACTTCTTTCCAGTATAAATGATATTATGCTTTAATTTCTCATTGTTGTATACTTTTCCAAAAGGAATCATCACAATAACCACTATTTTGTGTTTCTCTGCTTTAAAATGTCATCTCGAGAGTACACTCAAGTCCATGTTACTGAAAGTATCATCATCACACATCATCCCACAAATCATTCATTTAAAACACTACATATAAATATATATATTTACCTGGCAGGGGAGATGCCATTGTCACCCAAGTGGTTTTCCCAGGGTGAGGCTTCACCATTGTACCCCAAATACACAGACCCCTGCAATTTCCCAAAATATGAGACAATCTAATGCACAATTTGTGATAGTGGGGGGCAGCATTGGCTCATTCTCCTATCAAAATAAAATAAAGTGCTGCATATTTTGCCATAGCACTGAGTACAGTTAATTCTTGAATACATTTTACATATTATCTTAGCGCTTAGCACTTGTTGATTTTATGTATTTATAAGAATGTTATCTGTCTCCTTGTAAATTACATAAATTCTTGATGTCAGGACCATGCTTTCCTTATTCCCAACTGATTATCCTATGTCACCGATGGCATGTGATTTTATTAGGTCTTGATAAAAATGTGTAGGGTAAGCACATATTTGAGTGAATGAAGCAAAGTACGCAACGATTATGAAATATTCACTAGTTAAGATCCTTTATACATTTTTAACATACACACATTCACCTTTAGGTATGGGCACAAAATACACATGTATCAACACACACACATGCAAAATTAAAACAAACAGAAGAAGAAAGACTATACATGAAAGCAATCAAACAACTTAAATAGTTGACGGTTTCTAGCAAAACTGGTGTTTAATAAATTTATTCCCAGAAGTGAGTTAGCAAGGAACAGTTTAATTCATAAACAGGTTCCAATCTGCCTGACTCATTTTGGTAAGGATGTCATTTTGCTAAAGGTACAATTCCAATTATTGGCATGTTTTCCCCCATAAATGCTAACCAAACACTTCCTCTGGAACTCAAATAAGACAAGATGATTCATTTCATTGCTGGAGGAGTCCTTGGCTGTTTAGAGCTAATAAACAAGAATATGTGACTATCTAAGATGACTTCATTGGAAAAGTATGGTTTATAACATATTTTTCAATCCATATATTAAGAAGTAATTGACTAAGTATTTATATAGAGCCCATAGAGCCTACTACATGTTAGGAACATTAGATCTCAAGAACAGAGCAGTGAATTAAAGAAAGTTCCTGTCCTCAGGGAGCTTACATTCTAAAACAAGAGGACAGATACTTAATAACATGTAGTGTGTCAAGTGATGATAAATTATTTGAAAAAGTGAATTAGATTAAAAGATTTAGGGTGCCATTGTGGACATTCTTTTTGAAAATCAGATTAAACACAATAACAATCAGAGTGCCTTAGCAAATTTATTGCCATCTATTTGTGAAATAAATATTAAAGACAATCAATAATTGATATAATGGTCTCTCTATGACCCACTATAGTAAAACATATAATTAACATATAATTAAAATAAAGATTAATACACATCAATAAAATGAAATTATTATTACTGTTATTATTAGTTTTGGAGGTCCAGAACAAAGCTATTTTAATAAAATTTTTCAAGGTGTGATTTGTATTTAATAACCTACATCATTTTAAGGCAGCCCAATAAATGAATGTTGACAGATAACTACACTGAAAGCAATATTGTAATCAAAATATGAATATTTCCATTTTGCCAGAAATATCTTTAGAACCAAGCTTTTGTAATAACAAGATTTACCCTGAAATTTCTGATAAATTATCTTCATTCTAACCCAACCAATTGTGTTTGTATGTGTGTGTGTGTGTGTTTCTGTAATAAGTATAACATTTAATGTATTCAACCAAAATGGAGTAAAGTAGAACTCTTACTCCTCATTTCGTCCCTCATTTTCCTGAATCCAATTTTCCACCATTGATAACAGTTTATTTTTTGTATGTGTATGTTTTCATGGTTGTTTTATGCAAATATAGACAGATACAAGCATTTATTATTATTTTTCAGGCTTTTATATAAAATTGACTTATCTCATGCTTTCTCAGGCCATTTTTTATTTCATTATGTAAATTTTAATTTTTCTCCACAAATGAATAGAATCTCTCATTCTTCTTTAGTGCTGCCCAATATTATTTCCTATCGATGTGCTTTAATACATGTAAGCAGACTTCTGCTGATAGACATTTGGGTTCTTTCCAATACTTTGCGATTGCAAACAATGCCACACTGGCTGACTTTGAACATTTGTCTTCTCTCTGTGTGTGTGTGCCAAGAATATCTGAAGGATAAATTCCCAAAAGTGGAATTGCTGGTCACAGAGTGTATAAATTTGTTATATCAATAGGTATTGCCAGATATTTCTCCTCAGGGTATGAGCCAACTTATAGAGATACCAGAAATATGTGCACATACTTCTTACTCCCCAATATGTCAACAAAATTTATTATTAAATTTGGATACATTAGCTTAATTGATTGGTGTAGCCTACTATCCCAGTAAATGCTAATTGCATTCTTCTTTTAGGAACAAGGATGAGGGCCAGCATTAAGAATAATTTAGCAAATTAAAGAAACAAATCCTCCCAAAATGAGTGACTTTTTTAAAAGATTTATTTATTTATTTATTTATACAAGAACTGGGGTACAGGTCAGAAGCGCAGGAGGGTGAGAGAATTCGCCAGAGCAGGGAGCAGAACAGGCAGACGGACTGAAGACACTGCTGAGGGGAGCATTGGGTGAGGCAGGAGAGGTCTGCTGTGCCATGTGGGGTTCTCCCTGACTGGAGGGGAATTGAACCGGTGCTGCAGAGGTTGCGGGCAGCTTCGAAGTGTGGCTGGCGCTCAATCGCTGTGCCACCAGGGAGGCCAAAAAATGAGTGACTTCTGAAGGGATATCCATTTGCATATGTTGCTTCCACTGTGCAAAAGATTTCTTGATCAAAACCCCAATTAACATTTTTATTTCAAAGAGGATTTATTCTTTTAAACTCAAGAACACTTATTTTTTTCTTAATGACAAAAAACAAAATTTAAAATGAAAAACTGTGACCAATAAATAACCATAATACAAACAAATAATAACAAACAAGCACAGCCATCAGTGTGGTATCTTAAAAATGGGATGGAGTTAGAAGTGGAGATAGATTGAGAAACAAAAACATAAAGCAACAGTCAATAAACTAGTCAACATCACTAATAGCTATTTAAATACATCTTTTCATTTTTTACTTGACAATATATGACATATTAGAGAGGAAAAAATAAAATAAAATTGAAGAAAAGCATTCCATGAGCCCCTAGCAACATTAAAAATGTAGCCTTGATGTGATAAAAATTCTTATCAGACCATGCAACAAAAAATATTAAGTGCATCAGTCAAACATCAACATAATATCCATTTTCTGTTTGCTCTGTAAGGGTGCTTAACAATCAGGCCATTGAATTTAAAAATTGTCCTTCGTCTCTACATCTGTAGCAACTCTCTCAATTTAAGCAATGGCATCTATAGTTTCCTTCAATAAATGTAAATATATGAATATCACTTCAAATGCAGGTTTTCCAAATTTATTTGCTCATGTTAAATAATTAGTCAAACTGAAAGAGTTCTGTAGGACAATTAAAAATTTATATCCCAGGAGAAGAGAGAAGCTTAGAAAACAGTCAAAATCCTAGCAGGTAGATGCCACTGAACCTGTACAACAACAATAGAACAGATGGGAAAACATCAGTCAGTCGCCCCACATGGGCACAGGCTGGCAGCTCTGTGTTGCCCAGGAACAGAGGTGAACACAGCAATAAACGTTCAAAGGCAACAAGCTCTCAAGTTTGTCTTCAAGGAAATCTTGAAATTATACAGTAAATCTTACAGAACTTGCAATTCTGATGCATGGTCCTTGGGTGATACTAATGATATTTACCTCAGAAGCACTGGAGGCAGGTTAAAAGCATCTATGGCCCAAAAGCCAACTCTGAAGTGTTTCTCTTTTGAATCTTTACTTTTATAAGCTTCTAAAACATCTCATTCATTGAGGTCTTTCTTAATACAAATTATAGGCAAGGCATATGATTGTTTTTAGGATAAACCAATAGACATATAAAATATTCAGCTCTCACTACAATATATTCTAACCTCCTGGATCACACTCTGTGCTATGGAAAAAAAAAAAAAAAATCCATCAGAAGCGACTCCACTGAGCTGCACCATCTGATACTGCATGCTTCCTGACAGCTGTGCAGTTGTGAATTGTGGCAGTTTGAGGGACACAAAGGGCTGACCCAACCTGTTGTGGCTTCTTACATGATTTCTGAGAGAGGAACTAATAGGGCACATTCTCCAATCTGCCTAATTAGATGCTGTGATTCTAGCAGAAATCTCCTCCCCTATCTCAGCAAAAGCCGACTGCACTTTAGTGCTGCAGGAGAAAAGAGAGCTCCAGATTGGTAGAGACTAAAAGGTGAAACTTCAGAGGCAGCTCAGGGTCAGGGGGGCAAGAGCAGTTGTGATAAAGAGCAGTCCCAGAAGGTCATTGTGGAAATTTCCAAGTGGCTCTCAAGGAAAATAAGCCTGCTATTCACAGGGCTGCCTGGAAAATGGTGGGTAGTTTTGGAGCTTGAATGTCAATTGACACTTAGTAAGGCTCAGGGCCAAGGCTTATTTTCTTTAACAGTAAGGTTATTACTCATCTTTGTTTCAACACTCCACTGTGTCCTGAAGGAAGAATAATGACATTGGGATGAAATAGTGTTTATAATTTGATAAAGTCCATACGTCATCATATAAGGTAATTTTTGCATTTCTTTGAAGAACTTAGAACTCATGTTTGGATTTCTGTGCAAGATCAGTTTGATTTTTCCCCTCTAAAATGGGTGAGACTGGGCCTCCCCAGTGGCGCAGCGGTTGAGTGCTGGGCTGCGAAGCTGGCAGCCAGCAGCCGGCGAGAGTCCCACATGGCGTGCAGACCTCTTCTGCCGCGTGCTGCTCCCCTCAGCAGTGTACTTCATACTTTGTCAGTCTGCCTGTTCTGCTTCTCACTCTGGCTCTGGTGAATTCTCTCACCCTCCCGTGCTTCTGACTGTACCCAGTGCTTGTATAAATAAATAAATAAATCTTAAAAAAAAAAATAAAATAAAATGTGTGAGGCCAATTATAGTTAAAAAAAGTTCTAGAAACAAAGGTTTGGCAATTATTCTGGAGAAGCACAAGGTCTTCATTTATTCATTTATTTTCTGTTCTGGAATCAATTCTGAACTGTAGTTTTTCTGACTACTTAAAATCCCTTTTATAGGTCCTACCATGGGTTCATACTGACCAAAACATCGTCC